GGGTTCCTGTTTAGATACAAAGCCAGAACTAGGTGGCACTGAAAAATAGTCGGCGGTTGAGTCGAGAGGCTTATTGACTGATTCGGGGGTATAGATTGTGGATATCTGGGGGGTTTGGGTGCGCCCCATTTTGTTTGTGAGTAGTGGTTTCGGAGACGCCCATAGAGCGGTTCCACTAGCAGAGGCGTCCGGTGGATTTTTTTGTTGGCCATGCGACGTACGTTTAAGTACATCAAGAATTGCAGGATCATCAAACTCTTCATCGCACACAAGGCGTTCCAAGTTCTCTTCGAGGTTTAGACCCTAGCAAAAGTAAACGCAAATAAGAGACGCACGTCAAAGGACTGTGAAACCTCCACATCATCCGTTGCCCAAAATTCTGAAAGGTTCTCAGATTCCCAAAAGCGTGGAATTTCACAAGCATTTGGCGGATCATCTTCCTCCTGAAACTGGGCGACAAACTTTTCGTGTTCAACTTCCCAATCACCTGAAAAGAAGTTTCGAGAAAAAATGGATAGCCTACCAAGTTCGGCTTCCCCAAATGTTTCGTTGTTGAGTTCGTCAAGTTCCTAAACCGGACATAGTACTTAAACGCTGACTTACGCTTTCCATACTTGACGAAAACTAAGACGAGTAGATGCAACCACATGACTCTTTTGTGATGCGGTAACTTCAAACCGCAAAAGTTGCTCAGATAGTCAAGGCCATTTAAGTATTCGGTTTCACAAATATGGTAAGGACGGGACGAGGGTGAACGGGTTGAAATTCTCAACCTAGGTGAGGTTATAGTCCCGTTTTCCACCAGACCTAAGCGGGGGTGAACGAGGATCGTTCTGGCAGGGTATATACAAATATATTCATAGTTCCCTATCCCATTCCACTGTCCAACACTCATCTGTATTGTTGGAAACTGACTTAACTTTCCTATGCGACAAAGTGACCTTCTTGATGAATTAATGGCATCCACGAGATAACGATACATAATGCAGACAATACAATAGGTAAGTCGTCTCCGCCTGGTATTTTTTCGGTTTCAGTTTATTGAGGGAAATAGGCATGAGCCCTTGAGTGACCTAGTTGCAACGTCACCATAAGTGCAATGTACAGAGAAATCATGCGTGTGGCAAAACTTAAAACGGTACTATAAATAATGTTATAGTCACATATGTGACAATTTGGGGTGAGAGTTCCAAGGGTGAAATAACTCACAGTATGGCGCTGGTTCATTTTCGAACATATACCTGTCAAGGTTCCTTTTAAAGCATACAAACGATGTCAACATCACAATGTCTGTGGAGAGGGCTTTCAAAAACTTGACCACTCTGAAAGCGAAGGAGAACTTGCGCACATACAGCGTTGCTGGCTTAACGCATAGTTTAAATGGTTGCCCTCGGATATTTGTCGTGTTAACAAACGCAAGAATGTACCCGAACGTCAAGCAAAAATCCGATCTACTCAAAATGCGGAAAGCCTGTAGGAGATCCCGCAGATTTCCCTATAACTCAAAGGGAATATAACGAGCGGCACTACAACCATTTTTGTGGATCTTGTTTGAACTTTTTCGATACAAGTCTGATCTTAAACGGCCTAAGTTTTCCAGGCTTATATCGCATACTCCAAATCCGGTCTAACGCATGCTCCAAAAATCTGGGGAAAGGGATCTGCTTCGAAACCAAAACGGTTTTTCTGCTGGCGTGCAAAAAGTAAATTGTGCTGTTCGCTACCTTCGAGCAATATGAGAACGGCTTTAGAGAATTTTTTGTCTGCACACAGAGGTCCTTTTGATTTTCTACTTCCTGTAGAGCTGCACCGTTGAGATAGTAGCTTCCATTGTTGTTGGATCTGCTTGGATTGACTAGGCGAGTTATTGTTTAATTATCGACGTTGAACCGCAAAAACCAGTTGTTCTGACATTCTTCCAGTCTGTTAAAGTTGCTCTACATCCTGTTCTCGTCGACAGGCCTCCGGATTGCACTTTAGACTTTCATATAATTAGTTTACATAGCTTTATTACAGTCCAAATCTCGGGCACAATCGTCCACATATGTGTAAGTTCGACCACCGTAATCGGTGATGTTCACCATTTGCCCAAGACCAGGGACGGTAACTGTAGCCAGGTACAGTGAAAGTAGACGAGCCACCATCTTCCCCACTCTAAACCTTCATCTGCTTCAACCGGTGACAAGAAAACATCGAGATGACCGAGCAGGAATCAAGCATAAACCGCTTTCTCCAGATGCAGCCAGAAATACCGCTTATACTTAATCTTTAGTAACAGTAGACTTTGCGCGAGTACCACTGCACTATCTACCCTCACTCACCTATAGTAGGTGTCTAGCATGACTATAAGAAGCCAGAGCTCGTACTGCTACTACCAATACTGCTATTTCTATATACTACCAAATAAGATGTAGCTGAGTGTTACTTTTGCTGGTATTATTACTGACTGTACTGTAAGTCAAAAGTGACGCTGGTTCAAGTCAGCACAGGGCTCATATCCCCTCAATCTCAACAAGAACTGTAGCAGTACTGGTGCTAGCAATGCTGCCACCATTTGTCA